GAACGAAAGGAAGAAGAACAACACAAAAAAGGAAAAACGAAAAGGTTAGAGAAAACAGCAAAAGTGAACGAAAAAGGTTAGAGAACAACACAAAGTGAAAAAGTGAAAAACGAAAAGATTAGAGAACAAGAGCAAAGTGAACGAAAAAAGATTAGAGAAACAACAGCAAAAAGTGAACGAAAAGAACAACAGAGCAAAGTACGAAAAGATTAGAGAACAACAGCAGCAAAGTGAAGACGAAAAGATTAGAGGAACAACATCAAAGTGAACGAAAAGATTAGAAAACAACAACAAAGGGAAAAGGAAAACGAAAGGAAAGCGAAGTTAAGAAACAAGAAAAGATAAAGAAGAGAGAGAGAAGAAAGATAAAATAATCGAAGCACACAAAGAAGAGAGAGAGAAAAAAAGAAGGTAAAGACAAAAAAAAAAAAAAAAAATATCCAATAAAAGAAAAATGGGAAGAAAAAAATACAAAGAAGAACAAATCAAGAATTATATATAAAAAGAAATATAATAATGAAAAAAAAAGACAAGACCCAAAATAAAAATACATATGTTTATTTATAACCAAGGAAAAAACACGAAAAAATAATACATCACGAAAAGAAAACACACCAAAAAGGAACAATAAATATTCACCCATAAAAAAAAATAAAATGATAAAATATTCACGATAAAACAGAAAAAGATCGATAAATATTCACGAAAAGGAATAAAAGAAAAAAGATCGATAAATATTCACGAAAAGAATAAAAGAAAAAGATCGATAAATATTCACGAAAAGAAAGAAAAAAGAAGACAAAATAAATAAATAAATAAAGAGCAGAATACAAGGAAAAGAAAGAAGGTCAAGGCCCTTCCAGCTGAGAGGTCACGTGACGGCGCGGTTTTGGCGGGAAAAGACGGAAAAGGAAAAAAAAAAATAATGGCATAATGATAGATGGTGATTACGGTGATAAAATGAGGAATGGGAAAATTCATAATGGCAGTAATAGGGATAGTGATGATAAAATGAGGAATGGTGCAGTGAGAGGGATAATGATAGATGGTGATTACGGTGACGGTGATAAAATGAGGAATGGGATAATGATAGATGGGGATGGTGCGGTGATAGGGATAGTGGTGATAAAATGAGGAATGGTGATGAGGGGATAATATAAGATGGTGATAGGGAATGTGATGATAAAATGAGAATGGTGCAGTGAGAGGGATAATATTAGATTGTGATAGGGATTGTGGTGATAAAATGAGGGATGGTGCAGTGAGAGGGATAATGATAGATGGTGATAGGGATTGTGGTGATAAAATGAGGGATGGTGCAGTGAGAGGGATAATGATAGATGGTGATAGGATGATAAAATAGGAATGGTGCAGGGATAATGGGCGAATGATAAAATGAGGAATGGTGCAGTGAGAGGGATAATGATAATGGCAGTAATAGGGATAGTGATGATAAAATGAGGAATGGTGCAGTGAGAGGGATAATGATAATGGCAGTAATAGGGATAGTGATGATAAAATGAGGAATGGTGCAGTGAGAGGGATAATGAATGGCAGGTAATAGGGATAGTGATGATAAAATGAGAATGGTGCAGTGAGAGGGATAATGATAATGGCAGTAATAGGGATAGTGATGATAAAATGAGGAATGGTGCAGTGAGAGGGATAATGATAATGGCAGTAATAGGGATAGTGATGATTAAATGAGGAATGGTGCAGTGAGAGGGATAATGATAATGGCAGGGGATAGTGATGATAAATGAGGATGGTGCAGTAGGATAATGATAGATGGTGATTACGGTGATAAAATGAGGAATGGGATAATGATAGATAGTGATTACGGTGATAAAAGGAGGAATGAGATAATGATAGATGGGGATGGTGCGGTGATAGGGATTGTGATGATAAAATGAGGAATGGTGCAGTGAGAGGGATAATGATAGATGGTGATAGGATTGTGTAATAAAATGAGGAATGGGGTGCAGTGAGAGGAATAATATTAGATGGTGATAGGGATTGTGGTAATAAAATGAGGAATGGTGCAGTGAGAGGAATAATATTAGATGGTGATAGGGATTGTGGTAATAAAATGCAGGAATGGTGCATGAGGATATATTAGATGGTGTAGGGATAATAAAATGAGGAATGGTGCAGTGAGAGGAATAATATTAGATGGTGATAGGGATTGTGGTAATAAAATGAGGAATGGTGCAGTGAGAGGGATTATGATAGATGGTGATAGGGATTGTGATGATAAAATGAGGGATGGTGCAGTGAGAGGAATAATATTAGATGGTGATAGGGATTGTGATGATAAAATGAGGAATGGTGCAGTGAGAGGGATAATATGAGATGGTGATAGGGATTGTGGTGATAAAATGAGGAATGGTGCAGTGAGAGGGATAATATAAGATGGTGATAGGGATTGTGGGGATAAAATGAGGAATGGTGCAGTGAGAGGGATAATATGAGATGGTTATTACGGTGATAAAATGAGGAATGGGATAATGATAGATGGTGAATGTGAATAAAGGAGGAATGAGATAATGATAGATGGTGATGGTGCGGTGATAAGGGATTGTGGTGATAAAATGAAGGAATGGTGCAGTGGAGGGATAATATGAGATGGTGATAGGGATTGTTGATGATAAATGAGGAATGGTGCAGTGGAGAGGGATAAATGATAGATGGTGATTACGGTGATAAAATATTTACAATTGAGAGAGAGAGAGAGAGAGAGAGCAGAGAGAGAGAGAGAGAGAGAGAGAGATGAGAGAGAGAAGAGAGAGGAGAGAGAGAGAGAGAGAGAGAGGAGAGAGAGAGAGAGAGAGAGAGAGAAGGAGGGAGGGAGACACTGCGAGAACGATGGAAAAGAGAGTAGAGAGATAGAAAGTGGCGAAATGAGTGAAAGAGAGAGAGAGAAAGAAAAAAAAACAGGAAAATACATAATGAGATGATTTTCAAATGTGAAATTCGAAAGAGTGAAATTACGAAATTCACGAAAGTACAATTACAATATAAATTAGCGAAACAATTACACTTCACATCATTACTATCATATACCATACATCATATTAATTACGTAACTAATAATAACTCCTTATCTTGATATTGCCCCTTACAAAATTACAACAACCAGCCAGTACAGAATAGACCAAATGTACTATCATTAAATACATTAATTGTTGTTCAAGTACATTAATTTTTGTTCAGGTACGTTCAATTAAGAATACATTCACTTAAGAACAGACACTTGAACACAAATACCAAGGACTGGCATTGACCGTAAGTATTGTCATAAATTGTTTCGACCTCAATGAAAAAGAGGAAGGAGTAGGGGAGAGAAAGAGGGAGGTGGAGAGATGGAGGGAGGAGGAAGGGGTTGGGGGGGAGAAAGAGGGAGAGGAGGGAGTGGGAGGGGGGAGAGGAAGGGGAGAGGAGAGAAAGAGGGGAGGAGGGAGGGAGGGAGGGAGGAAGGAGGTAGGGGAGAGATGGAGGGAGGGGAAGGGAGAGGAGAGTGAGGAGGGGGAGGAGAGAAGGAGGAAGGAGGTAGGGGAGAGAAAGAGGGAGAGGAGGGAGGGAGGGAGGGAGGAGGGGGAGAGATGGAGGGAGGGAGGAGGGGGAGAAATGGAGGGAGGGAGGAAGGGGAGAGAAAGAGGAGAGGGGAGAGATGGAGGGAGGAGGGAGGGGAGAAGGAGAGAAAGAGGGAGAGATGGAGGGAGGGAAGGAGAGGGATAAAGAGAAGGAGAGGAATTGGATTGATAAAAAGGCGATAAGAGAGGAGAGAAAGAAGAGAAGAGGCAGAAAACAGAGACAGCGAAAAGACGAAAAAGAAGAGAGAGAGAAAGGAAATGACAGAGACAGAGAAAGCGAGAAAACGAAGAGAGAGAGATTGAGATAGAAGAAACGAGGAAGGAAAGAGAGAGAGAGAGAGAGAGAGAGAAAGAAAGAGAGCGATAGAGAGAGAGAGAGAGAGAGAGAGAGAGAGAGAGAGAGAGAGAGAGAGAGAAGTAGAGAAGAAAGAAAGAAAGAAAGAAAGAAGAAGAGAGAGAGAGAGAGAGAAGAGAGAGAGAGAGAGAGAGAGAGAGAGAAGAGAGGAAGAGGGCCAGGCACCACACCCTATATTGATGGCCATGTTGTTTTCCTCGTCTCCCCCCCCTCCCCCCCTTCCCCCCTTCGCTGTTTCCCCTTTCACATTCTGTGGTGTAACCTTCTCTCCTCCCTTCCCCCTCTTTTATTCCTCCTCCTCCCTTCGTCTCTCTCTCCTTCCTTCTTCTTTATCTCTTCTCTCCTCCTTTTTTTTTCTTTCCAATTTCTCTCCTTCTTCCAATCCTTCCTTTCTTTCCCATTTACTCCCTACCCCTGCCTCCTTCCACTTCTATTTTCCCTTCCCTCACCCTCCCTCTCTCCCCTCTCTCTATCCTCCCCTTCCCTCCTTCCCTTCCACCCTCCACCCCTCTCCCCTCCCTTCCTCTCTCCCTCCCCTTCCTCCTACCCCTTCCCTCCCTTCACATCCCCCTGCCTCCTCCTTCTCCCCTTTCCTCTCTCCCTCCTCCCTCCTCCTCCCCTCCCCTTCCTCCTCTCTTCTCTCTCCTCCCCTTCCTCCTTACACCCTTCCCTCCACCCTCCCCCGCCTCCTCCTCCTTTCCTCTCTCCCCGCCTCCTTCTCCCTCTTTCCTTCCTCTCTCTCTCTAATTACAATACGTTCAGCCTCGAGGTCCGAAATGCGACCACATCCATCACAGTTTCGTGACATTGAGTACAGATTCGGACTTCAGACACTAGTATTTATGGCACGGCGCTAGTGGCACTGATTGTACTAGTACTAATGGTACTTGTGGTACTTGTGGTACTTGTGGTACTTGTGGTACTTATGGTGCTGTGGTACTTGTGGTACTTGTGGTACTTGTGGTATTTTGCGGTACATGTGGTATTTTGACTTGTGGTACTTGTGGTAATGGTACTTGTGGTACATGTGTTACTTGTGGTATTGTGTACTAATGGTACTTGTGGTTTTGTGTATTTGGTGGTACTATGGTACTAGTTGTACTATGGTACCAGTACTAGTACTATGGTATTAATAGTGTTGTGTTATTATTGGTATCGTGGTATTAATGGTTTGAAAGGAGAGAGAGAGAGGTAGGGATGGATAATTAAAGTGAAATTAGGCATATGAATACCGGCGTTTATTAAGCTATAATCTCTCTCTCTCTCTCTTTTCTCTCTCTCCTTTCCTTTTCCCCCCCCCTCTCCCTTTCTCTTCTCCTCTCATCTCTCTCTCTCTCTCTCTCTCTTCTGTCTCTCTCTCTACTCTCTCTCTCCTCTCTCTCTCTCTCTCTCTCTCTCTCTCTCTCTCTCTTCTCTCTCCTCTCTCCTCTCTCTCTCTCTCTCTCTCTCCTCTCTCTCATCTCTCTCTCTCTCCTTTTTTCCCACTATCCCCCTTTCTCTTTCTCTACCGCCTGTGCACATTCCCATCCCCCATCCCTCCCCCCCCATTTGTCCACTTATCTTCCCTCCTTCCCCATCCTCACCCCCTCCTGGACCCCCCCCCCCCTTCCCTGGCGTCTCAGCATCAACAAAGCCTGGCTTGGGTGGCTTCCAAAACCTCCCTCTGCACTTTCTCTCAATCTGTTTTATGTCTATTTTTCTGTCTATCGGTGTTTCCCATCCCATGTCTCTGTCTTTCTCTCTTGTTGTTTGCTTCTTCTTCTTCTCTCTGTCTGTCTGTCTGCCTCTCTCTCTGTCTATCTATCTGTCTATCTATCTTTCTGTCTCTCTGTCTCTGTGGTCTGTGTGTGTGTGTCTCTGTCTGTCTCTCTCTTTCTCTGTCTGTCTGTCTGTCCTGTCTGTCTGTCTCTCCTCTCCTCTCTCTCTCCTCTCTCTCTCTCCTCTCTCTCTTCTCTCTGTCCCCTCTTTCTTTCTCTCTCTCTCTCTCTCTCTCTCTCTCTCTCTCTCTCTCTCTCTCTCTCTCTCTCTCTCTCTCTTCTCTCTCTCTCTCTCTCTCTCTCTTCTCTCTCTCTCTCTCTCTGTATGTATGTATACATATCTAGCTATTATCTAAATGATGTATAAGTGTGTGTCCTATGTATGTGTGTGAATAGACAGACAGACACACAATAGCTACACACAATAGATATTTTTTAAGCACACAAATATTCGACCTTTTCGCTTCCCTTTCCCTCCATCTGCTCCTTCCCCTTCCTCCCCTCCTCCTCGGCCTATTCCTCCCTCTCCGGCCTCCTCACCCCTCCTCCTCGCCCCTCCTCGGCCTCTCCCTTCCTCCCCCTCCTCCTCGCCTCACTTCCTCCCTCCTTCTCCCGTCCTCCTCCCTTCTTCCCTCCTCTTCCTCCCCTCCTCCCTCCCTCCCCTCTTCGTCCTTCCTTTTTCACTCAACCCCTCCCCTCCCCTCCTCCTCCCCTCCTCCCCTCCCCTTCCTCATCTTGGCTATCAGCACAATTGAGTGTTGAAGAATAGAGGGTATTCTTAGGCGAAGAAGGTCAAAGAGGAAGGTGAGAGAGGAGAGAGGGAGAGAGAGAGAAAGGAGAGAGCGGCAGAGAAAGAGGGAAAGAGAGAGAAGGAGAGGGAGAGGAGAGGGAGAGGGAGAGGAGAGGAGAGGAGAAGGAGAGGGAGAGGAGAAGGGAGAAGGAGAGGGAGAGGAGAGGGAGAGGGAGAAGGAGAGGAGAGGAGAGGGAGAGGGAGAGGAGAGGGAGAGGGAGAAGGAGAGAGAGGAAGAGAGAGAGAGAGAGAGAGAGAGAGAGAGAGAGAGAGAGAGAGAGAGAGAGAGAGAAGAGAGAGAGGAGAGAGAGCTAGAGCGAGAGCGAGATAGAGAAAGAGAGAAAGAGAGACAGAGAGAAAGAAGACAGCAAGGAGAAAGTCGAGCCCAGAGGAATATAAGGAGACATCTGGAAGATACAAAGAANGCCCTTCCCTCTTCCTCTCTTTCCCTCTTACTCCACCTCCTTCCTTCTCCGCCCTCTCCTCTTCCCTTCCCTCTTACTCCACCTCCTTCCTTTCCCGCCCTCCCTCTTCCCCTTCCTCTTACTCCACCTCCTTCCTCTCCGCCCTCCTCTTCCCTTTCCCTCTTACTCCAACCTCCTTCCTTCTCCGTCTCCCTCTTCCCTTTCCCTCTTACTCCACCTCCTTCCCTCTCCCGTTCTCCCTCTTCCCTTTCCTCTTCTCCACCTCCTTCCTTCTCCGTCTTCCTCTTCCCTTTCCCTCTTACTCCCTCCCTCCTTCTCCGCCCTCCTTTCCCTCCCTCTTTCTCCACCTCCCTCCTTCTCCGCCTTTCCCTCCTCCTCTTCCCTTTCCCTCTTACTCCACCTCCTTCCTTCTCCGCCCTCCCTCTTCCCTTTCCCTCTTTCTCCACTCTTCCTTTTCCTCCACTCCTTCTTCCGCCCTCCCTCTTCCCTTCCCTCTTACTCCACCTCCTTCCTTTCTCCGCCTCCCTCTTCCCTTTCCCTCTTACTCCACCTCCTTCCTTCTCCGTCCTCCTCTTCCCTTTCCTCTTTACTCCACCCCTCCCTCTTCTCCGCCCTCCTCTTCCTCTTTTCCCTCTTACTCGCAACCTCCTTCCTTCTCCGCCCTCCCTCTTCCCTTTCCCTCTTACTCCACCTCCTTCCTTCTCCGCCCTCCCTCTTCCCTTTTCCCTCTTACTCCACCTCCTTCCTTCTCCGCCTCCTCTTCCCTTTCCCTCTACTCCACCTCCTTCTTTCCGCCTCCCTCTTCCTTTCCCTTACTCCACCTCTTCCTTCTCCGCCCTCCCTCTCCCTTTCCCTCTTACTCACCTCCTTCCTTCTCCGCTCTCCCTCTTCCCCTTCCCTCTTACTCCACCTCCTTCCTTCTCCGCCCTCCCTCTTCCCTTTCCCTCTTACTCCACTCTTCCTTCTCCCCCTCCCTCTTCCCTATCCTTCTACTACCTCCTTCCTTCTCCGCCCTCCCTCTTCCCTTTCCCTCTTACTCCACCTCCTTCCTTCTCCGCTCTCCCTCTTCCCCTTCCCTCTTACTCCACCTTCTTCCTTCTTCCGCTCCCTCTTCCCTTTCCCTCTTACTCCACCTCCTTCCTTCTCCGCCCTCCCTCTTCCCTTTCCCTCTTACTCCACCTCCTTCCTTCTCCGCGCCTCCCTCTTCCCTTTCCCTCTTACTCCACCTCCTCCTTCTCCGCCTCCCTCTTCCCTATCCTTCTTACTCCACCTCCTTCCTTCTCCGCCCTCCCTCTTCCTTTCCCTTCTTACTCCACCTCCCTTCCTTCTCCGCTCTCCCTCTTCCCTTCCCTCTTACTCCACCTCCTTCCTTCTCGCCCTCCCTCTTCCCTTTCCCTCTTACTCCACCTCCTTCCTTCTCCGCCCTCCCTCTTTCCCTTTCCCTCTTACTCCACCTCCTTCCTTCTCCGCCCTCCCTCTTCCCCTTTCCCTTTACTCCACCTCCTTCCTTCTCCGCCCTCCTCTTCCCTTTCCCTCTTACTCCACCTCCTTCCTTCTCCGCCCTCTCCTCTTCCCCTTCCCTTCTTCGTCTCCACCTCCTTCCCTCCGCCCCTCCTCTTCCCTTCCCTCTTACTCCACCTCCTTCCTTCTCCGCCCTCCCTCTTCCCTTTCCCTCTTACTCCAACCTCCTTCCTTTCTCCCGCCCTCCCTCTTCCCTTTCCCTCTTACTTCCACCTCCTTCCTTCTCCGCCCTCCCTCTTCCCCCCCTTCTTTCTCCAGCCCTCTTCCCGTTCCCTCTACTCCACCTCCTTCCTTCTCCGCCTCCTCTTCCCTTTCCCTCTTACTCCACCTCCTTCCTTCTCAGTCCTCCCTCTTCCCTTTCCCTCTTACTCCACCTCCTTCCTTCTCGCCCTCCCTCTTCCCGTTCCCTCTTACTCCACTCCTTCCTTCTCCGCCCTCCCTCTTCCCTTTCCCTCTTACTCCACCTCCTTCCTCTCCGCCCTCCCTCTTCCCTTTCCCTCTCACTCACCTCCTTCCTTCTCCGCCCTCCCTCTTCCCTTTCCCTCTTACCTCCACCTCCTTCCTTCTCCGCCTCCTCTCCCCTTCCCTCTTAAACCTCCTCCCTCTCCCCTTCCCTTACTCCACTCCACCTCCTTCCTTCTCCGCCCTCCCTCTTCCCTTTCCCTCTTACTCCACCCTCCTTCTTTCTCCGCCCTCCCTCTTCCCCTTCCCTCTTACTCCACCTCCTTCCTTCTCCGCCCTCCCTCTTCCCCTTTCCCTCTCTACTCCACCTCCTTCCTTCCCGCCCCCTCCCTCTTCCTTTCCCTCTTACTCCACTCCTTCCTTCTCCGTTCCTCCCTCTTCCCTTTCCCTCTTACTCCACCTCCTTTCCCTCTCGCCCTCCCTCTTCCCTTTCCCTCTTACTCCACCTCCTTCCTTCTCCGTCCTTCCTCTTCCCTTTCCCTCTTACTCCACCTCCTTCCTTCGTCCCTCCCTCTTCCTTTCCCTCTTACTCCACCTCTTTCCTTCTCCGCCCTCCTTCTTCCCTTTCCCTTCTTACTCCACCTCCTTCCTTCTCCGTCCTCCCTCTTCCCTTTCCCTACTTCTCCACCTCTTCCTTCTCCGCCCTCCTTCTCCCCTTCCCTCTTACTCCACCTCCTTCCTTCTCCGCCCTCCCTCTTCCCTTTCCTCTTACTCCACCTCCTTCCTTCTCCGCCCTCCCTCTTCCCTATCCTTCTTACTCCACCTCCTTCCTTCTCCGCCCTCCCTCTCCCTTTCCCTCTTACTCCACCCTCCTTCTTCTCCGCCTCCCTCTTCCCTTTCCCTCTTACTCCACCTCCCTCCTTCTCCGCCCTCCCTCTTCCCTTTCCCTCTTACTCACCTCCCTCCTTCTCCGCCCTCCCTCTTCTCCTTTCCCTCTTACTCCACCTCCTTCCTTCTCGCCCTCCCTCCTTCCCTTTCCCTCTTACTCCACCTCCTTCCTTCTCCGCCCTCCCTCTTCCCCATTCCCTCTTACTCCACCTCCTTCTTTCTCCGCCCTCCCTCTTCCCTTTCCCCTCTTACTCCACCTCCTTCCTTCTCCGCCCTCCCTCTTCCCTTTCCCTCTTACTCCACCTCCTTCCTTCTCCGCCCTCCCCTCTTCCCTTTCCTCTTACTCAACCTCCTTCCTTCTCCGTCCTTCCTCTTCCCTTTCCCTCTTACTCCACACTCCTTCCTTCTCCGCCCTCCCTCTTCCCTTTCCCTCTTACTCCACCTTCCTTCCTTCTCGCTCCTCCCTCTTCCCTTTCCCTCTTACTCCACCTCCTTCGTTCTCCCGCCCTCCATCTTCCCTTCCCTCTTACTCCACCTCCTTCTTCTCCGCCTCCTCTTCCCTTCCTTCTTACTCACCTCCTCCTTCTCCGCTTCCCTCTTCCCTTTCCCTCTTACTCCACTCACCCCTTTTCTTTACTACCCTCTTCCTTCTCCGCCCTCCCTCTTCCCTTTCCCTCTTACTCCACCTCCTTCCTTCTCCGCCTCCCTCATTCCCTATCCTTCTTAACTCCACCTCCTTCCTTCTCCGCCCTCCCTCTTCCCTTTCCCTCTTACTCCACCTCCTTCCTTCTCCGGCTCTCCCTCTTCCCCTTCCCTCTACTCCACCTCCTTCCTTCTCCGCCCTCCCTCTTCCTTTCCCTCTTACTCCACTCCTTCCTTCTCCGCCCCCCTTCCCCTTCTTCCCTTTCCCTCTTACTCCACCTCCTTCCTCTCCGCCCTCCCTCTTCCCCTTTCCCTCTTACTCCACCTCCTTCCTTTCTCCGCCCTCCCTCTTCCCTATCCTTCTTACTCCACCTCCTTCCTTCTCCGCCTCTCCCTTTCCCTCTTACTCCACCTCCTTCCCTTCTCCGCTTCCCTCTTCCCTTCCCTCTTACTCCACCTCCTTCCTTCTCCGCCCTCCCTCTTCCCTTTCCCTCTTACTCCTCTCCTTCCTTCTCCGCCCTCCCTCTCTTCCCTTTCCCTCTTACTCCACCTCCTTTCCTTCTCCGCCCTCCCTCTTCCCCTTCCTCTTACTCCACCTCCTTCCTTCTCCGCCCCTCCCCTTCCCTTTCCCCTCTTACTCCACCTCCTTCCTTCTCCCGCCTCCCTTCTTCCCCTTCCCTCTTACTCCACCTCCTTCCTTTCTCCGCCCTCCCTCTTCCCTTTCCCTCTTACTCCACCTCCTCCTTCTCCGGCCCTCCCTCTTCCTATCCTTTCTTACTCCACCTCCTTCCTTCTCCGCCCTCCCTCTTCCCTTTCCCTCTTACTCCACTCCTTCCTTCTCCGCCCTCCCTCTTCCCTTTCCTTCTTACTCCACCTCCTTCCTTCTCCGTCCTCCCTCTTCCCCTTCCCTCCTTACTCCACCTCCTTTCCTTCTCCGCCCCTTTCCCTCTTACTCCACCTCCTTCCTCTCCGCCCTCCCTCTTCCCTCCCTCTTATCACCTCCTTCCTTTCCCTCCTCCCTCTTCCTCCCCTACTCCACCTCCTTCCTTCTCCCCCTCCCTCACCTTTCCTCTTATCCACCTCCACCTCTTCCTTCTCCGCTTCCCTTTCCCTCTTACTCCACTCCTTCCTTCTCCGCTTATTCCTCCGCCGCCTTTCTTCTCTCTCCCTCTTCCTTCTTCCTCCGCCCTTCCTAACGATTCCCTCTACCCTGGCCTCACCATTGCTCTGCCCTCCGCTCCTCCCTCAAAACCACTATCCTTCCCCTCTCCCTCCTCCTCCTCCTCCCTCTTCTCCCCTCCCCTCTCCTCTCTCCTCCCCCTCTCCTCTCCTCTTCCCTCCCCTTCTCCCCTCCTCCTCTTCCTCCCCCTTCCTCTCCTCTTCCTCCTCCTCCTCCCCCGCTCTCCTCCTCCTCCTCCCCTTCTCCCCTCCTCCTCCCTTTCTCCCCTCCTCTTCCTCCTCCCCTCTCCTCTCCTCCTCCTCCCTTTTCTCCCCTCCTCCTCCTCCCCCTCTCCTCTTCCTCCTCCTCTCCTCTTCCTCCTCCTCCTCCCCTTCTCCTCTTCCTTCCTCCTCCCCTCTCCCTCCTCTTCCTCCTCTCCCCTCCCCCCTCTCCCCCCAAACCTCGGGCGGCGTTGCGGATGGCGTCAGCGTCGCCGTCGTGCTCGTTGCAGTTGCTCCCGGAAGCGGCGTCGGCGGAACGACAGGTTCAGCGGCGGCGCCCCCAGGAACGACAGGTTCAGCGGCGGCGCCCCCCGGAACGACAGGTTCAGCGGCGGCGCCCCCCGGAAGGCGAGGAGGACGCGCCCCCCGGAACGGCAGGTTCAGCGGCGGCGCCCCCAGGAACGGCAGGTTCAGCGGCGGCGCCCCCGGCGAGGGGACGCGCCCCCCGGAACGACAGGTTCAGCGGCGGCGCCCCCCGGAACGGCAGGTTCAGCGGCGGCGCCCCCCCGGAAGGCGAGGAGGACGCGCCCCCAGGAACGGACAGGTTCAGCGGCGGGCGCCCCCCGGAGGCGAGGAGGACGCGCCCCCGGAACGACAGGTTCAGCGGCAGCGCCCCCCGGAAGGCGAGGAGGACGCGCCCCCGGAACGACAGGTTCAGCGGGCGCCCCAGGAACGACAGGTTCAGCGGCGGCGCCCCCAGGAACGAGGGGAGACGGCGTTCAGGAAGGCGAGCAGGACGCGCCCCCCAAACGACAGGTTTCAGCGGCGGCGCCCCCCGGAACGGCAGGTTCGGCGCCCCCCGGGGTTAAGGCCCCGGACGCGCCCCCCAGGAAACGAAGGCGGCGGCGCCCCCAGGAACGACAGGTTCAGCGGCGGCGGCCCCGCCCCGGCGGCAGGGCAGGTTCAGAACGGCAGGTTCAGCGGCGCCCCCCCGGAAGGCGAGGAGGACGCGCCCCCTGTTCCCGCGACTCCGGAGGCAGGTTCGTTGCGGGCGAGAGACGCATTCCAGCGCCGAGGTAATTGACCCATAAACTTCCCTCAGAATTTCCCCTTGAGGTTTGTTGCTCCGTCTTTACTTTAACGGCGAGTTGTTAAAGTGGCGACGTCGAAGGCGGCGGGACGGGCGTGGGGGGGGGAGGAGGGGAGGAAGGGCGGCGGGGCGGGCGTGGGGGAGGGAGGGGCGTGGGGGAGGGAGGAGGAGGGGGAGAAAGGGGCGGCGGGGCGGGCGTGGGGGAGGGAGGAGGGGGGAGAAGGGCGGCGGGCGGGCGTGGGGAGGGAGGGAGGAGGGGGGGAAGGGGCGGCGGGGCGGGCGTGGGGAGGGAGGAAGGGGAGAAGGGGCGGCAGGGCGGGCGTGAGGGGGGCGGGGAGGGGGAGGGGGAGAAAGGGGCGGCGGGGCGGGCGTGGGGGGAGGGAGGAGGGAGAAAGGGGCGGCGGGGCGTGGGGGGAGGGAGGAGGGGGAGGAAGGGGCGGGGGGGGGGGGCAGGTCACGTTTTCCTCCTCGCCATCCGAAGGCGCATCTTCGGGCCCTCGAGGCTAACTTTGATGACTCGTTTCACATTTTAGCAGTCGTCTGGCAAGACCTTCGCTCATACTCGGCCGCTGGGAGACGTTGGAGCAGCTGCCGGCAGGATTCGGAACGTCTTTCGTGCTATGGCCATTAGGGTAACGACTTTGCCTCTCCTTTGCGGGCCTCTGGTGGGGTCCCTGCTTCTGCTTCTCTCTCCCTCCTGTTATTCTCCCCCTTGTCGCCCATCATTCTCCCATCCCCCATAAACTGACAAACTGCCCTGACGAAGAACACTCACTTTCGAGCCAGAGCGCCGTCTCTTTCTTCCCTGCTCGCCGACGACCTTCATAGACCCATTTACAAAATGAACGAAAGCGAGGATAAACCCTGGCACGCGCCTCGCCCTTCTAATTTCCCTGGGTACTTTAGGCACCCCTTCGTTCCCCCCCCCCCTTCTTCCTCCTTCCCTCCCTCCCTTCCACCTTCCCCCCTTTTTTCTTTCACTTTTTCCCTTCCTTTCCTTTCCCTTTTCCTTTTCTTCTTTCCTCCCTTTTCCTTCCTTCCCTCCCTCCACCATCCCACCCTTCACCTTTTCCTCTTTCCCTTCCTTTTTCCTTCCTTCCCTTCCATCCCACCCTTCCTTCCCCTTTTCCTCTTTCCCTTCCCTTCCCTTCCACCTTCCCCCCCTTTTCCCCTTCCTTCTCCCTTTTCCTCTTTCTCCTTCCTTCCCTTCCCTTCCCTTCCCTTCCACCCACTCTTTCCTTCCCTTCCTTCTCCTCCACCTTTTTCTCTT